AAGCAATGGCTTTTTCTGGCACTCTTCCGTAAAGCCCAGCTCTGTGGATTGTACGGCTTAAAGTGGTCCTATGGACAGATACTCCAATCTCCGCTGTGGAGCTTTGCAGCTCCTTCAGGGTTATCTTTGGTATCTTTGTTGCCTCTCTGATTAATGTCCTCCTTGCCTGGTCTGTGAGTTTTGGTGGGTGGCCCTCTCTTGGCAGGTTTGTTGTGGTGCCATATTCTTTCCATTTTTGAATAATGGATTTAATGGTGCTCCGTGGGATGTTCAAAGTTTCGGATATTTTGTTATAACCCAACCCTGATCTGTACTTCTCCACGACTTTGTCCCTGACCTGTTTGGAGAGCTCCTTGGTCTTCATGGTGCCGCTTGCTTGGTGGTGCCCCTTGCTTAGTGGTGTTGCAGACTCTGGGGCCTTTCAGAACAGGTGTAAATACGCTATCGTTCAAAAGTTTGGGGTCACTTAGAAATGTCCTTGTTTTTGAAAGAAAAGCACTTTTTTTGTCCATTCAAATAACATCAAATTGTTCAGAAATACAGTGTAGACATTGTTAATGTTGTAAACGGCTATTGTAGCTGGAAACGGCTGATTTTTAATGGAATATCTACATAGGCGTACAGAGGCCCATTATCAGCAACCATCAGTCCTGTGTTCCAATGGCACGTTGTGTTTGCTAATCCAAGTTTATCATTTTAAAAGGCTAATTGATCATTAGAAAACCCTTTTGCAATTATGTTAGCACAGCTGAAAACTGTTGTGCTGATTAAAGAAGCAATAAAACTGGCCTTCTTGAGACTAGTTGAGTATCTGGAGCATCAGCAATTGTGGGTTCGATTACAGGCTCAAAATGACCAGAAACAAAGAACTTTCTTCTGAAACTCGTCAGTCTATTCTTGTTCAGAGAAATGAAGGCTATTCTATGCGAGAAATTGCCAAGAAACTCGTACAATGCTGTTTACTACTCCCTTCACAGAACAGCGCATACAGGCTCTAACCAGAATAGAAAGAGGAGTGGGAGGCCCCGGTGCACAACTGAGCAAGAGGACAAATATATTAGAGTGTCTAGTTTGAGAAACAGGCGCCTCACAGGTCCTCAACTGGCAGCTTCATTAAATAGTACCCACAAAACACCAGTCTCAACGTCAACAGTAAAGAGGCGACTCCGGGATGCTGACCTAGGCAGAGTTGCAAAGAAAAAGCCATATCTCAGACTGGGCAATAAAAATAAAAGATTAAGATGGGCAGTCTGAGATATGGCTTTTTCTTTGCAACTCTGCCTAGAAGGTCAGCATACCGGAGTCGCCTCTTCACTGTTGACAAAATTTCTAAGTGACCCCAAACTTTTGAACGGTAGTGTATACTGAGATCATGTGACAGATCATGTGACACTTAAATAAAGTCCACCTGTGTGCAATCTAACTAATTATGTGACTTCTGAAGGTAATTGGTTGCACCAGATCTTATTTAGGGGCTTCATAGCAAAGGGGGTGCACGCACCATTTTTCTGTTATTTATTTATTTGAATTTTTTTAAACAAGTTATTTTTTTCATTTCACTTCCCCCATTTGGACTATTTTGTGTATGTCCATTACATGAAATCCAAATAAAAATACATTTACAGGTTGTAATGCAACAAAATAGGAAAAACGCCAAGGGGGATGAATACTTTTGCAAGGCACTGTATATACACTGCTCAAAAAAATAAAGGGAACACTAAAATAACACATCCTAGATCTGAATGAATGAAATAATCTTATTAAATACTTTTTTCTTTACATAGTTGAATGTGCTGACAATGGAAATCAAATTTATCAACCCATGGAGGTCTGGATTTGGAGTCACCCTCAAAATTAAAGTGGAAAACCACACTACAGGCTGATCCAACTTTGATGTAATGTCCTTAAAACAAGTCAAAATGAGGCTCAGTAGTGTGTGTGGCCTCCACGTGCCTGTATGACCTCCCTACAACGCCTGGGCATGCTCCTGATGAGGTGGCGGATGGTCTCCTGAGGGATCTCCTCCCAGACCTGGACTAAAGCATCCGCCAACTCCTGGACAGTCTGTGGTGCAACGTGGCGTTGGTGGATGGAGCGAGACATGATGTCCCAGATGTGCTCAATTGGATTCAGGTCTGGGGAACGGGCGGGCCAGTCCATAGCATCAATGCCTTCCTCTTGCAGGAACTGCTGACACACTCCAGCCACATGAGGTCTAGCATTGTCTTGCATTAGGAGAAACCCTGGGCCAACCGCACCAGCATATGGTCTCACAAGGGGTCTGAGGATCTCATCTCGGTACCTAATGGCTGTCAGGCTACCTCTGGCGAGCACATGGAGGGCTGTGCGGCCCCCAAAGAAATGCCACCCCACACCATGACTGACCCACCGCCAAACCGGTCATGCTGGAGGATGTTGCAGGCAGCAGAACATTCTCCACAGCGTCTCCAGACTCTGTCACGTCTGTCACGTGCTCAGTGTGAACCTGCTTTCATCTGTGAAGAGCACAGGGCGCCAGTGGCGAATTTGCCAGTCTTGGTGTTCTCTGGCAAATGCCAAACGTCCTGCACGGTGTTGGGCTGTAAGCACAACCCCCACCTGTGGACGTCGGGCCCTCATACCACCCTCATGGAGTCTGTTTCTGACCGTTTGAGCAGACACATGCACATTTGTGGCCTGCTGGAGGTCATTTTGCAGGGCTCTGGCAGTGTTCCTCCTGCTCCTCCTTGCACAAAGGCGGAGGTAGCAGTCCTGCTGCTGGGTTGTTGCCCTCCTACGGCCTCCTCCACGTCTCCTGATGTACTGGCCTGTCTCCTGGTAGCGCCTCCATGCTCTGGACACTACGCTGACAGACACAGCAAACCTTTTGCCACAGCTCGCATTGATGTGCCATCCTGGATGAGCTGCACTACCTGAGCCACTTGTGTGGGTTGTAGACTCCGTCTCATGCTACCACTAGAGTGAAAGCACCGCCAGCATTCAAAAGTGACCAAAACATCAGCCAGGAAGCATAGGAACTGAGAAGTGGTCTGTTGTCACCACCTGCAAAACCAGTCCTTTATTGGGGGTGTCTTGCTAATTGCCTATAATTTCCACCTGTTGTCTATTCCATTTGCACAACAGCATGTGCAATTTATTGTCAATCAGTGTTGCTTCCTAAGTGGACAGTTTGATTTCACAGAAGTGTGATTGACTTGGAGTTACATTGTGTTGTTTAAGTGTTCCCTTTATTTTTTTGAGCAGTGTATATATATACAGCTGTGGAAAAAATTAAGAGACCACTGCAAATGTTTCTTGAATCAGCATCTCTACATGTATGACAGCCATTCCATTCCAGTGTCTGTTGAATTCCAACAAAGGCACACCTCATTCTACTGAATTAGGTACTGATTAGGTGATCACATTAACCAAATCTTTATTTAACGAGGAAAAGTATAAAAACCACTGCTGTGGTCATCACTATCCTCTTGCAATAGGACCAGCTGGATGGCAAAAACAGTGCTAATAGTATCTCAAAAGTAATATTAATCAAAAAAGAACTATTGACCATGCCAAAAGAGTTGAAAAGGAAAGTTTTGAGTGAGGAAAAGAAGGGTTCAATTCTGGCTTTACTGGCAGAGGGATACAGTGAGCGTCAGGTTGCTTCCATCCTTAACATTTCAAAGACGGCGTTTCATAAGAACAAGGTCAAGCAGTAGACATTGGGGACAACAAAGCTACAGACCGGCAGAGGGCGAAAACGACTCTCTACTGACCGGGATGACCGCCAACTCATTCGAATATCACTCAACAACCGTAGGATGACATCAAGTGACCTACAAAAAGAATGGCAAACGGCAGCTGGGGTGAAGTGCACAGCGAGGACGGTTTGAAACAGGCTCCTAGGAGCAAGGCTGAAGTCGTGCAAAGCTAGAAAAAAGCCCTTCATCAATGAGAAGAGCCAGGCTGAGGTTTGCAAAAGACCATAAGGATTGGACCGTAGAGGACTGGAGTAAGGTCATCTTTCTCTGACGAGTCCAATTTTCAGCTTTGCCCAACACCTGGTCGTCTAATGGTTAGACGGAGACCTGGAGAGGCCTACAAGCCACAGTGTCTCGCACCCACTGTGAAATTTGGTGGAGGATCGGTGGTGATCTGGGGGTGCTTCAGCAAGGCTGGAATCGGGCAGATTTGTCTTTGTGAGGGACGCATGAATCAAGCCACGTACAAGGTTGTCCTGGAAGAAAACCTGCTTCCTTTTGCTCTGACATTGTTCCCCAACTCTGAGGATTGGTTTTTCCAGCAGGACAATGCGCCATGCCACACAGCCAGGTCAATCAAGGTGTGGATGGAGGACCACCAGATCAGGACGCTGTCATGGCCAGCCCAATCTCCATGGCCAGCCCAATCTCCAGACCTGAACCCCATTGAAAACTTCTGGAATGTGATCAAGAGGAAGATGGATGGTCACAAGCCATCAAACAAAGCCGAGCTGCTTGAATTTTTGCGTGGCATAAAGTCACCCAACATCAATGTGAAAGACTGGTAGAGAGCATTTTCTGCAAATAAATGCTCTAAATGACAATATTTTTATTTGGAATTTGGGAGAAATCTTGTCAGTAGTTTATAGAATAAAACAAAACAAAAAAATTTACCCAAACACATACCTATAAATAGTAAAACCAGAGAAACTGATAATTTTGCAGTGGTCTCTTAATTTTTTCCACAGCTATATATATATATATATGCGAGAGAAGAGGGAAAAAAACAACATATGGGGGATTGGAAGTGATGCAGACAATTACTATCTGCAATATTAAAACTGATCTACCCCCTAAAAAAAGGTCCTATTTTATTTGTTGTCTTTAGTAACTTTTCTCTTGTCTTTTGTGAGTTTTATTGTTGTATGTTGAAGTATTGTTGTACTAAATTGAGGGAGCAAAGGTTTGTTTAATGAATTGAAGGTTCTCTACGTGAGGGACCTTTATTGTGAAGGACGAATGAATACATTTACCCTAGACGTCATTTTAGGCCCTGGTCAGCCAGAATTATAAACGGAAGCTGGCGGCAGAATCGAAAATCTTTTTAGCTAACTTTTGTTAAAACGACTTGATGGTTAGCTACTGAAGCTAGATGAATGGTGTGGAACGGCGTTAATTCGTAGTAAAGTCTTATAAAATGGTCGACCTTGACTCTGGCATGGTCTATGTGCGAGAGAGAGGACAGCTTCGTCGCGTCAATAACATTGTGCTCGCAGAGACGAAGCCGCATTCATCATCACACAGAACAACAACAAACCCTCTTGCGTTGAAAAAGGAGCACTTCGTCTTCACCTATAACAAAGAAGGCAGTTTGAGGTACACTGCCAAATCCCTCTACGACATCTCTCTGCTGTTTGTAGCGTACAACATCCACCATGTCGATTCACTCGAAGGATTCCCTGAACAAGTGGGGGACAGACTCTTCGCCGCTGCGGAGGAAAAACAGATATTCTCAGATCCTGAGGCAGCGCCTAGGGCTCTGCAGTTGTTCAGTGATGCATACGGGGACATAGTGCTCGGGTCACTTTGTTTACGACATAGGTAAGGCTTGAATAACTTGATTAACCCCCCCCCCAAAGCTTGGTTAAAAACACCCTCCATGTCACATTATATCTAGCCTACTCACCCCACCTTGTAGTACCACCAACATTATGTAACCTACAACCCATTTAGGAATTTGCGATGCGCTTCATTGACTGTTCATAAATGGGCTGGCTACCTGTTGCCTTATTTCCCCACAGGTTTCCCTTGCTGTCTGAAAAGCTGGAAGAGATCAAAACGTTTCACAGTCTGAAGTGCTTGGATCTATTTGGCTGCAGACTGGGAGACAGCCACGACATCTTCCAACATCTCACATCAGATTCATTGTCCAGGTATGAATCATTTTTTTGTTCTATTGTACAGTACAATGGCTAAGTAATGCACTGAGGCTGGACTGCGAGTGTGTGATTGACCCTGACATAAGGCAGTGTGTCTTTAGCAGGCAGATTTAAAAATGTTTCTGGGTGGCGGTTCAAAGTTATTCCTGTGTCTGTTTCTCCTCAGCAGCCTGGTCCAATTGTAGTTCTTCTCTCTGTTTCTCAGGAGCCTGGTCCAGCTCTCCCTGGGCGGTAATAGCCTGTCAGACCAGGGTCTCCAGAGACTGACAGCCCCTGTCAGGATGATGAGGAGGGGGCTGAGACACCTGCAGATACTGGACCTGTCCTGTGAGTCTCTAGTAATTAGTCTTAATGAGACCTGTCCTGTGAGTAGTCTGTTATGGAGGGGGGAGCATCTCAATAGTATAGCATGGCTTCCTAGTCTCATCCTTACCTTCATTTGCACGACTAGGAAGGAACATCTGAATGGTGAAAGGACAGGAAGCCTTAGATAAGACTATTAAAATAGATGGTCCAGGGGATCCACAGCATATAATATATAATAATAATATAATTGGTCATTTAGCAGACGCTCTTATCCAGAGCGACTTACAGGAGCAATTAGGGTTAAGTGCCTTGCTCAAGGGCACATCGACAGATTTTTCACCTAGTCGGCTCGGGGATTAGAACCAGCGACCTTTCGGTTACTGGCACAACGCTCTTAACCACTAAGCTACCTGCCGCCAAACCAGCATAGCGCCAAACCAGTTGTTTACACTTACCTCTTTCCAACAGACAACCCTATCACTGAGAAGGCAGTTGGATATCTCACATGTCTCCCAAAGCTACAAGGTCTTGATGTATCAGGAACTAACATAAAGGTGAGAAGGGTTTTGCTCTGTTCTTCTCCCTGTCACAAGACCAGGGCTCCAGACTAACATTTTCCCCTGGTGCCACTAAGTTTTGCAGTTGGGTGGCACCAGCCCATGCGCTCACGCAATATAACTTTTTTTTGTATATAAAGTAATTCAGTGTTTTATTGAAAAGTGTAGTAGACTATATGAAATATGTTGTTTTGTCATCTTTTCATGTTGTGATTCTAAATATTTTAATGTTCAACCTAATCCAGTGATTATCATGCATTTTGAGTTGACAATTAGGCATTTTTTTGGGGTGGGGGGGGTTCAGTAGAGATGAATTAGCCTAGATCTTTATGTGCACTAATATCATAGGCTAATTTATTTGGAGCTCATTCACCACCTGAGTAAGTGGAAACTCAAAACACATTAGCAAGATCGCCAACGCTAACTCTAAAGATAATACCCAATGCTAATAGCCAGGTATTAATCTAACAGTACATTTTGAATGTCCCAATTTTTTTTTGCAGTTGTTGCCTATTACCCAATGAGTCCTATGCAATCCAATGCGCATTTTAATGCAATCAATATCGCATATGGTCCGTATCTCAAAGCCATATCAAATAACTTGGTTGTAAAAAATAGTTGGTTTTGAGCTCAAAATTGAGAGCTGAGAAATAAATAAAAATTACCTACGGAAAGCTGAACCTCCTTTCTTCAACGGTGACAACAGGATAGCTGTGTTTTCCCTGCAATAGGATTTCAAAATGTTATACAATCAGAACACTTTTTCTCCCTGAACATTTTTTCCCCCCCAGGGAAAGGAGAGGGAGTGTGACTCGCTGAACACATCAGCAGGCCTCAGGCAGACACTTTCATTACAGGAATCATAAGAACAATGCACTACTTTACTATTTGACCAAATCAATGATTTTAGCTTTCTATAAACCTTTCTATGACCATGTAGAATGTACGGCTTGCACCGTCTGGAGCTCTGCACAAGACCATAGCTAAGATCCTCTTCTGACCCGAACTGGCCTCTTGTTTCCTATGTGGAACATGTCTTCCACGAGATGGCACCACTTATACCTAACGGAACTGAGGGTGAAATGTATACCGTTTGATTCGCAGGTTGGCCCGTCATTAAAGCAGACCCTGAGGAACACGATGGGGTTGGTCCTGTCTGAGAAACTGCTGGAGGCCTTCGACCACTCCTGCTGTAAAACACAAGGCTGGGCAGAGCAGGTAACATTCCTGCTGTGAAACACATTTTATGGTACTAAAGTAGTTTATTGATAACTTGTTTTATTTGAATGGCATGTATGTTTGTGACAGGTGGTAAACCGGTGGGAGTTGAGTGCAACAGAAATGCCCAAACCAAAGAAGGTCCAAGAGTCAAGAACATCAGCTATTCGCTTTTGTAAGTTTTAACATCCTTTGTATTTACATCACTGTTTTAATGAAAGACCATTTCAAAGCTAGCCAGGTCTGGATCTGTATGTTCTTCAGCCAAATCTGACAGTCGTTGCCATACCATACATGTCAGAGATTAGGGGAGTTGGCTATAAGCACATTCCGATCTGAACCAGGCTATTTTCTGAGCTAGTCTGTCTCTGCAGTGGCCAGCTTGCTCAAGTCTTGGACAGAGATGGCTGGTTGACTCAGAATAAATAAAATAAAATCTCACCCCGGCTATCAGTACAGGTGCTGTTGTTATGAATAAGACCCGGCTGTCAGCACAGGTGCTGGTGTTGTAACCAAGACCCGGCTGTCAGCACAGGTGCTGGTGTTGTAAACAAGACCCGGCTGTCAGCACAGGTGCTGTTGTTGTAAACAAGACCCGGCTGTCAGCACAGGTGTTGTTGTTGTAAACAAGACCCGGCTGTCAGCACAGGTGCTGTTGTTGTAAACAAGACCCGGCTGTCAGCACAGGTGCTGTTGTTGTGAACAAGACCCGGCTGTCAGCACAGGTGCTGGTGTTGTAAACAAGACCCGGCTGTCAGCACAGGTGCTGGTGTTGTAAACAAGACTAAAGTACTATTTGCTCTTCAGTTGGCAGAGAGAAGTTTGTCCGAGGAATCCTAAGCGCATCACCTCTGATCCAGGAGAAAGAACAAGACAAGACCAGGGAGAGGATACATTTTTATAAACCAGCAACAAGCACACACACAAATCAGACCCAATGCACAGGGACTAAAAGTGGACAAATTAAGCCCTCGTCACTCAACAGCATTGAAATCGCAGGGGCCACCAACGGACATGTAAAACCCTGTTCCCAAAACCAGAATTGGCCTCGTAAACACCAGGTCGGGGACAGTGATCATCACAGCCCTCCTGCTAAACGTGCTTCTTCCTCATCATCACCAACTCTCACAGCAGAGGACTTGGATCTGCTCAACAGTTACTGATGCTTCGTCTCTTTCTCTGTCCGTACCTTCTCCGTAGCCGAGGTCCACGGTCTCCAAATGTGTGCATGGGGGCTTGACGCTGCACTGCTCAATGCATCCAGCAGAGGTCAGCTTCCACCTGTAGGTTAACTTTGGTGGCTTTTTTTGTTTAAGCGGACCCTAAGCACTTCCTAGCTGGAGGTGTAGAGGAACACTTGTAGTATTTTCTTGGTCAATCTGCTGCTTATTTACGTTTTTAACTTTTTACAAATAAAAAGTATATTGCTATTATTGTAACTGTTCAAGATTCTGATCATTGGGGTGGATGCAGTCTCTGGTGACAGAATGTTCACATGGCCAGAGTACACACCTTCGAATTTGGTTCAGAGATTAGGGGAGGGGGATGGATGTGGCAGTCAGTCTAGCAGGTTAAACTTTTGGGGGCAGGTGTACTCGTCAGACCAGTCGTAGCAGTGCTGGCGTCCGTCACGGCATAGACCGCGAGGGATACAGGAACAGTACTGGAAGTCCACCGGTATGCAGGACCACCAGTCCACACCACAGGGGGCACAGCCAGCATCTGAGAAGCACATGCACCTCACTGTCACTGTGCATGTCTGAATATAGAGGAACATGCTAAACACCGTCTATTACATACAATTTGATACTGAAATAATGTCTCATTGACGAAAAACCTGTTCCAAGGATCAGGCAGAGCTCATTTTCCAGATTTGTAAAAATAGTTTATTCAAGCAATTGCAAAGAAGTTAACTCTCCAGATATACCGGGGAGGAACAGAAACATTTACAAATTACCCAGTCATTTATATACCTCATCTACACAAAGAACTGCTTACCCCTCCAAAAGGGAGGCAAACTTACATGAGCGATAAGGGGTACTTAGCTCTACTCCCTTAAAGCATTAAAACAAATTACATTGACATTTTAGTCATTTAGCAGACGCTCTTATCCAGAGCGACTTACAGTTAGTGATAAAAGTTCTCACAGCCCATGTGTCTAAGAGAGGTGAGTGATACGATCTTTACAGTCTAAACGGACAGAACAAGAGTTCAGCCTGGTTGCTAAGGAGCCGATAACAAATCTCTCCTTTGTACAGTGTATGAAGAGGTTACTGGACAGCAGGGGAAAGAACCAGTGACTAGCATTGTTCAACTCGAGCATTTTCATACCATTTTAGACCGTAACAAAACCATTTTGCCCTCACGGCCTGAAGAGATGTTTTTAAAAAAACGAGAATCTTGATGACCACTCAACTAACTTCTATTACGTTTTATATATTACAATTTCTTGATGTTAAAATAAGTGTTCATATGACGGTAATCTGTAACCTACTACTACAGCATCAAATTAGACAAGGCAAGTTTGAGCTAAGGACCCTGGGACTAAACACCACCCTGTGCAACTGGATCCTGGACTTTCTGACGGGCCGCCCCCAGGTGGTAAGGGTAGGTAACAACACATTTGCCACGCTGATCCTCAACACAGGGGCCCCTCAGTGGTGCGTGCTCAGTCCCCTCCTGTATTCCCTGTTCACCCATGACTGCATGGCCAGGCACGACTCCAACACCATCATTAAGTTTGCCGACGACACAACAGTGGTAGGCCTGATCACCGACAACGATGAGACAGCCTATAGGGAGGAGGTCAGAGACCTGGCCATGTGGTACCAGGATAACAACCTCTCCCTCAACGTGATCAAGACAAAGGAGATGATTGTGGACTACAGGGAAAATAAAGGACTGAGCACGCCCCCATTCTCATTGACGGGGCTGTAGTGGAACAGGTTGAGAGCTTCAAGTTCCTTGGTGTCCACATCACCAACATACTATCATGGTCCAAACACACCAAGACATTCATGAAGAGGGCACGACAAAGCCTATTCCCCCTCAGGAGACTGAAAAGATTTGGCATGGGTCCTCAGATCATCAAAAGGTTCTACAGCTGCATGATCGAGAGCATCCTGACTGGTTGCATCACCGCCTGGTATGGCAACTGCTCGGCCTCCGACCGCAAGGCACTACAGAGGGTAGTGCGTACGGCCCAGTATATCACTGGGGGCAAGCTTCCTGCCATCCAGGACCTATATACTAGGCGGTGTCAGAGGAAGGCCCTAAAAATTGTCAAAGACTCCAGCCACCCTAGTCATAGACTGTTCTCTCTGCTACCGCATGGCAAGCGGTACCGGAGCGCCAAGTCTAGGTCCAAAAGGCTTCTTAACAGCTTCTACCCCCAAGCCATAAGACTCCTGAACAGCTAATCATGGCTACCCCGACTATTTGCACTGCTCCCCCACCCCATCCCCCTCTTTTACGCTGTTGCTACTCTGTTTAATTATTTATGCATAGTCACTTTAACTCTACCCACATGTACATATTACTTCAACTACCTCAACTAGCCGGTGCCCCCGCACATTGACTCTGCACCGGTACCCCCCTGTATATATAGCCTCCCTACTGTTATTTTATTTTACTACTGCTCTTTAATTATTTGCTATTTTTTATTTATCTATTTTTTACTTGACTTTTTTTTTCTTTTCTTAAACTGCATTGTTGGTTAAGGGCTTGGAAGTAAGCATTTCACTGTAAGGTCTACACCTGTTGTATTCGGCGGCTTTGGCAAACAAAATTTGATTTGAATAATAAAACTCACAGGGTCCAATCTCATCAGAGCAGTCCCCACAGTCGTTGAAGTTGTTACACTTCTTGTCAGTAAAGACCCAGAACTGAGGGTTTCCACATCGAAACACAAGACCCCCTGGAAGGTTGTTGGGGAGATCACCTGAAAGGAAAAGTATGGACATGTTTACTTAGAGCAGCGGTTCTCAACCTGAGGTTCTAGAACCCCTGGGGTTCTTAACCCAACTACAGCGGTTCTCAACCTGAGGTTCTAGAACCCCTGGGGTTCTTAACCCAACTACAGCGGTTCTCAACCTGAGGTTCTAGAACCCCTGGGGTTCTTAACCCAACTACAGCGGTTCTCAACCTGAGGTTCTAGAACCCCTGGGGTTCTTAGCCCAACTACAGGGGTACTTAAGAAAATTAATAGCACTGGTTTTGCTGATAGCTGCTTTATTGAGGAAATGTTTTACTTACAATAGCTAGGTTTACATCCAATTGGCGACAGATTTTCATGCAAATATTCTAGAATCTGCATAAAGAAAATGTGCGCATTTTCCCACCAGTGGTGTGTTTCCACCAAATGGACTTGTTGCAGATAAAAATCTGTGCCTGATGACAGTGCACACAATATGTACCCTTTTCGGTAAAGTTTTCATGTACCGAATAAAAAAATCTAAAGTTCAAAATGTTTCCATCGCAATTTCAACTCTACCAATAATTTTGTCACAGACTGTTGCGTTAAATAGCAAATGTGCCTACTCTGGTCTTGCAGCCGGTCTTGGCACATGCGCCTAGCCAACAGCTCGCCGATACAGTGTGGGTAGGCTAGTCTACGTGGTCCTCTGTAGCTCAGCTGGTAGAGCATGGCGCTTGTAACGCCAAGGTAGTGGGTTCGATCCCCGGGACCACCCATACACAAAAAATGTATGCACGCATGACTGTAAATCGCTTTGGATAAAAGTGTCTGCTAAATGGCATATTATTATGAGATTATTGTGGATAAGAGCAAGAATACTTTTTTTTTGTCAAATGGCAGTCAAGCATCGATCATCATGTCACCAGAATAAGACCCTCGATATTTATTAGAAAGGAGCATCAAGATCACCGTGCACTTTCACCACCCTGTGAAGTTCATCATCATTTATACCACCTGTAGCCTAATAAACTGCGTTGTTTAACCGAGTCGTAGTGGAAGGACCCAGGCTGGAGGACCACACACACCATATCATCGCGTGACTCCAAGGTAACTTCGATATGATGGTTATTATATCAATGTTTGCACATAAAGGCGTTTCCACCGCTATTTCACGCATAACAATTTTTTACCGACACAAAAAAATCGCACCATGTCGAACGAACAAATGTATAAAATTGTACCGAAACTTCCTGTTTCCATCACAGCTGTCTTAGATTTTTTTTATATACAGTATGACATTACACACATAAAGACTGTGAATGGAAACATTGGTTCATACTAGTCCCCTGTAGCTCAGTTGGTAGAGCATGGCGCTTGCAACGCCAGGGTTGTGGGTTCGTTTCCCAAGTGGGGCCAGTATGAAAATGTATGCACTCACTAACTGTAAGTCGCTCTGGATAAGAGCGTCTGCTAAATGACGGAAATGTAAATGACTGCTATGTGGTTGTCTTATTAAGATGAATGCATTATCTGTAAATTGTTCTGGATAAGAGTGTCTGCTAAAGGTATTAGCGATACCAAACCGCAAAATACAAATCCTCGTTTAATTAAGAGACATTTTTTAAAGCCTTCTCCTCAAGGGTTTTTACAAGTTCTACTCTGATTTAGCCACTGTCTCCTGTATTCCTGACCCTGAGTTGGCTCTAGAAAATGTATCCTCCATATTTATTCCTCAGGCAGATAAACACACCCCTTTTAAATTATTCAGAGTCAAAGATACAGTTGAAGTCAGATGTTTACATACACTTAGGTTGAAGTCATTAAAACTTGTTTTTCAACCACTCCACACATTTCTTGTTAACAAACTATAGTTTTGGCAAGTCGGTTAGGACATCTACTTTGTGCATGACACAAGTAATTTTTCCAGCAATTGTTTACAGACAGATTATTTCACTTATAATTCACTGTATCACAATTCCAGTGGGTCAGAAGTTTACATACACTAAATTGACTGTGCCTTTAAACAGCTTGGAAAATTCCAGAAAATGATGTCATGGCTTTAGAAGCTTCTGATAGGCTAATTGACATCATTTGAGTCAATTGGAGGTGTACCTGTGGATGTAGAATGATGTGGTCCTCTGTAGCTCAGCTGGTAGAGCACGGCGCTTGTAACGCCAAGGTAGTGGGTTCGATCCCCGGGACCACACGTACACAAAAAAAAAAAAAATTATGCACGCATGACTGTAAGTCGCTTTGGATAAAAGCGTCTGCTAAATGGCATATTATTATATATTATTATGTATTTCAAGGCCTACCTTCAAACTCAGTGCCAAAAGAAATCAGCCAAGACCTCAGAAAATAAATTGTAGACCTCCACAAGTCTGGTTCATCCTTGGAAGCAATTTCCAAACGCCTGAAGGTACCACGTTCATCTGTACAAACAATTGTACGCAAGTATAAACACCATGGGACCACGTAGCCGTCATACGGGAAAGAGACGCGTTCTGTCTCCTAGAG